TTGATTGGTTTTTTTCCAACGTTTGTTTTATCCCCCATGTAAAAAATACCTGAGTTTATTTGTTTTTTGGTCGGAAAGGAAGTGGCGTGTTAGGCTTTAGTGCTTATATCAGTACTAACTAGATTGACAAAGCTGCTTTCGGATATTGTGTAATTTTGAAGACATTCAAAAAATTCTACTGTTGAATCCCACCACATCGTAAATAACTCCGCTGCTCGTCTGTGTTCGCTTATTCAAGTATTCGCGACTAAGCATTATAACCTGATTCATCACATTGGCCACTTAGTCCGTAGCCTACAACCAGTAGCTGGCAGCTGAGAACACCGTTTGCAAGTTAAGCATCTTTATGGCTAATGCTTAATGGCTATGCATAATGCTGTAAATGAGCAACTGTACAAAACAGTTAACAAACACTAAGCTGAAGGCAGATTCCGGGTTCCATTTGAGACGTATTAGTCATACAGATGAAAAATAGGAAGCCTTCCTTTGCATGATATCGTATGGCAAGCACACACACAAATTCGTAACCGACAGATCAAAGTTATGGCTCATGGGAAGGCTCACCCGGTAACTGAACGTTATTAAGCTGAAAATCACCATTGGCGCCTTATTACCCATCACCTTATTAATCAAATGACAACGAACTATGAAATAGCATGACTATGATTTAGTTCGGCTTGACAACATTCAACAACAGCCAGATATCTGAAAAAAGCCAACTTGTGGCTTTATGGCGTGTTTTTCAAAATCAATCAAACACTTTTGGCGTTTGCAGTTCAGGCACGCCCGCGATATTTTGCTTCCTTGTTCGAAACTATCACCCTGACAAATCTCCGAAAATTCTGATGCCGTTGACCGATCCCTCAACGGGAACCGGCATCAAATCACTACCGCTTATATCCAATTAAAATTTTTACGGCAAATTTAAGTGCTATTGAACTGCAGAGTCGATGGCAGGCTGGTAATCGCGTGGTATGGTTCTCTTTATTTGGTACGTACCTACCTGCGCATGCGAGACTTAAAATCTCAGCCACCAAGAGCACCAATCTGAGATTGCAATCCTTTGCGGTTGGGTTATTAGTAATGAACGCTCTTTGACGTTTGGTTCTTTTTTTTGGTGTCAAATCATGCTGTTTTTTATATTCAACCATGTTGATTGAGTGCACATGGATCATTATCGAATGGCATAATTTACGCCAATATCGTTTCTATACGTGTATTCAATCAGGATGAATATTGCACATATTGATGTTGTATTTTTTAAGGAGTAATAAATTATGAATCAGAAACGGTTAGGAGGATGCCTTTTTTTTAGATTTTCCGAGTTAAAATTAATGTTGCTACAATTCTTTTTTAACTTTCACTTCATCTTCAATTCCATTCAGCTGCTAAGGTCAATCACATTTAATTAGTTAAAGTCACATTTAATTAGATTTATAAAAAAAACTATAAAATTCAGAGTAAATGCTTTTATCATTTTATTAGAAAGGAGAAAACATAGCAGGATAAATCCTGATAAATCATAACCCTGCTTAAGAATCCTTAAATGGTCGCTATCATGGCTGATTTTACATGAAAAATCAGCCATGACAACGACCATTTATGGACTCTATCCACCTTGTCCTTCGAATCCCTTAATAAAACAAACCAACATAACATTAGGTTAAGATCTAATTTCCGTCATATTCAGCATAACCTGCCTTCAACCTCTCTTTTTTAACGGGTTTGAACAACAAACAGAATGAATCAGTTTGAGAAAACTCCCAAATTTACCGATCATGGTGACATGATGATCATTGATCAATTGCTGAATGATAAAAATGTTCTTTTGATATTCAGTATTAGAAATAGTGTGATTAAATTTGTTTTAAATATTGTTGGCATTGTACACATGATTTCAGATGAAATCTTAATTCTTCTGCTAATAATGTACAGTTGTTGTATTTTAAGCTATTACTAGCTTAAAATTCAATTAACTTAAGTAAACTTAACAGAAAAATGTTCATTATTCTATTATCTATTGCACTACATCCATCAACCATGTCAAATGTAAAGGAAAAACATTGATGTTCAATAATTGGATCGTAATAAGACGCGTGGTCCTGGGTTATTGTCTATGGAGATAACGCATAAAAGAATGCAACGGTTTATATAAAACAGCTGCTGCGTATATTTTCCTTCTATGGTTTACCGGTTCAATAAAATAAAAAAATATCCGGTTCATTAAAATAAACAAAATAACTGGTTCAATAAAATAAATCAAATAACTGATACCGTGCGTACAATATACCTGACAGTTACGTTCAATCATCTCTCAAAACGAGTGAAGGATTTGGCTTGCTGAAAAATTGCATTCTAAGATGCATTAGTTGTGTCATATTTTATGGGTGCGCAAAAAATAGATATAGAGTGTGCAATAATACAATTTCAATGCAAATAGTACGTGCAACCATTGGGCTCTAAGCAGGGCTGGCAAATGTCATTTTCTATCTCACGTGATATTTACAGAGATATTTCTGTCACTATCATCGGATAAGAAAACGATGAAAGAGATTTTTTTCAAAATCTCATTAATTTTGTTTTGTCATGGCAGAACGTGACAGTGTTGTGATCATTGTGATTACTAGCTCAGTTATTGCTATTAAAGTTACTTGTATCGAGGAAATCTTAAAAATATAGTCACTCTACCGATTACATTCATCTAAATTAGTTAGAAATGTTGATTGTTCATTCCTTTATTTAACGTCGGTCTCTGTTCCGCAATCTAGTGCCAATCACCGACGGACATCGATTGCCATCCATTGACCGCAATCGAATGTGCAGGAAGGCAGCTTCCACACCTGCATAGGATATCGCACCCATTCAACACACATGGGCCGGGACCAACGGCTTTACTTCCCTTCCGAAGGAAGACGTGACCAGAGATTTTTATGCCTCAAAAAAATCCCACCGACCTCGGCTGGGATTGAACCTAGACCCATTGGGGTGTTAGAAAGCAGTCACACTTACCACTACACCACCGGCGCCGGCTTAGAAATGTTGATGTCCAAACCGAAAAAGAATTATTCTCGTGAGAGCTTGATCGGTGGAAAATGACAAGAAAGCTCATCATAGGTAGTTTCGTCTCGTGATAGTGAGAGACCCTGTTTTCTCATTTTCACATGACGACCGTGAATATTTGCTAGCTCTGGCTCTAAGGCATATTCAAAAGATTTATTATATGAAAAGTTTTAACGAATATAATTTGCAAATAAGCTCTGGAAATGTTTTATCAATCGCAATAGAATATTTCTTTATGAAGTCCTAATTCGCAAATTACCCTAGGAGTTTTAAATCCGTCCAAACACATTGAACAGTCATTGGATTACCTTCGGCATACGGATAAAGGCTGATAAAAATGGATTCTTTAGAAGCGCTTCTTTTGTCTTTGATAATTTAATAATTTATGTATAGGGTAGAGAACTACTTCGGCCTAATCGCCCATTTTGGGACTATCGAGCAGAAAACATCAAATAAATCCATGATTTCAGAGTTAACAAGTCAATTATGCGTTTGGTACGATACTTTAGTAAATAAGCTACCGAAATAAGTCAATGAGAACGCGTGATATGAAGGTTTGCACCCATTATTCCCAAAAACAAAAGAAGCGCTCCGACCGAATCAATTTTTATCTTCATCCGATAGGCCGAAGGGAATTCATTGGCGTTTCAATGCGTTAGGCCGAGTTTAGAATCCGTAGGCCGAGTTTGGCGTCAAGAAGCAGTGTTAAACTTTAGACAATATCTCAACGATTAGCTTCTCTTTATCAAATCTTACGGTACGTACGGAAAGGTAAATAAATTTGGAAGCCATCAGTAATAATAACATTCCGTTTGGTGCTAAACTGCGCTAGATTAAGAAAGACTAAGTGCGGGTTGTGCTTAATAGGCCGAAAATGGGGTAGTTTACCCTATTACGGTTTCTTTTATAGACATTGTTTTATAGCTTTTGAGCTAAATTATCGTATGACGTATGATTATTCGTTCACGTTGACATCGTTGATATATTAAATGTTTATGTGCGACATAACGGAAATGGACGCTAATGCCGAAATAGTTATCTACCCTACCTTTACCTATTATCGGCATAGGGGTAAACAAATTTGTGCTATTGAAACATGATGTATCCTCATGCAGAAAACTAGCGCTCATGGCTTCATTTACCACCAGACGAAAATAGGGAAAGGTATTGCCGAAGCCATCATTAACCCTACTTTAGTTAAGGCATGCGTTGTAAATCAAACTTCTCTCATACATATGTCATGGTAAGAGAATGTCCAAGCTCATGCAATTTTATTAGACATATTGGGACAAAAACAGAAATCGCCTCGACCTACAATAAGATGCAAACGATTAAAAAGTCTAAAGTTTTCAGAAATCAATTTGCAATAACAATCAATGATTGTGTTTGCACCGCATAATGCCTCTCGTCAGATCATAAGCTACCGAAGCAGCACGGCAGTCACAATGCTCAAAAAACTCATGTCAATCGTGATGCTTGGCAGATTTGCCTCATCATTGAGTGCTGAAAAATTGGCTCCGTGCCGCTTTACATATAAGATCAGCGGTAGCAGCAATTATATGCGCATAATTTGCGCCCTCTTGCGGTCAAGCTGCTGCGTTATTATCGCGAATCATAAGTTTTGCGATTTTATGCATTACCGAATGCACGTGTTTCTCAGTGTGCTGGTTGCGTTGTGGTCGTTCGACTAATGGGCTATTTAGGCTCTGGTTAGTAAGGAGAGGACAATTATTATTTATGAGTTTGCTGCTGACATTGGGCAGCTTCCGTTTTTTCTTGTCTTCTTTGATGTTAACTTTAGGTGTACGGTCACCTCGTACTAAATATGTGCTGACGTGTGTAATTCATTATATTGGTAGCACTGTGGGATCCTCAATTTGGAATGGATTGTTTGGGATATGAATTAATTTAACCATTTATTGTTGTTTCTTTTGTTACAGATAATCATCTAACGAGGAAAGCACTTCCCGCGTACTCTGATGGTGTGTACGTCCTAGCAGGGTCTAACCGACCTTCTCCACGTAAGCTTAGTAGGTTGTTCATGAGAGGCAAAGATGGGCTGCCTTCAATGTACAATCGCACTGCCATTCTGGCCTTCTTCGGTCAGGTCGTTACCAATGAGGTTGTGATGGCCTCTGAATCGGGCTGCCCAATCGAAATGCATCGAATAGAGATTGAAAAGTGTGACGAAATGTACGATCGCGAGTGCCGAGGTGATCGCTATATTCCGTTTCACCGGGCGGCTTACGACAGAAACACCGGTCAAAGTCCTAATGCTCCCAGGGAGCAGATCAATCAGATGACCGCTTGGATTGACGGTAGTTTCATCTACAGTACGTCTGAAGCGTGGTTGAATGCTATGCGGACATTTCAGGACGGTTTGCTGCTGACAGATAAGGATGGAACGATGCCGGTGAAGAATACGATGCGAGTGCCGCTGTTCAACAATCCAGTGCCGCACGTTATGCGAATGCTCAGCCCAGAGAGATTGTATCGTAAGTGAAAACGCCTCTTGGTAGGCAACCAGCATTTATGCTCTGTATGATTGAATGCATATTTTCAATTTTAGTTTTGGGCGATCCGCGGACCAATCAAAATCCTGCTTTGCTCACGTTTGCCATTCTACTTCTGCGGTGGCACAATGTGGTTGCAAAACGTGTCCGAAAACAGCACCGAGATTGGACTGACGAGGAAATTTTCCAGCGTGCTCGAAGGGTTGTAGTTGCTAGTCTGCAGAATGTGATAACCTATGAATATCTACCGGCATTTTTGGATGCTGAACTGTCACCTTACATGGGATACAAAGCTGATACTCACCCAGGCGTTAGCCATATGTTCCAGGCTGCTGCGTTCCGATTTGGACATTCGCTTATTCCTCCCGGTTTGTTCCGAAGGAATGGGCGGTGTGACTTCCGGAAGACCAACATGGACTACCCGGCGCTAAGGTTGTGTTCAACATGGTGGAATTCGAACGTAAGTTCTGAAATTAATACAAGATTAGGGGAAAATGAAAGATGTATTTTTAACTATAGAGCTGAGTGTATTCAATTACTTATAATTCGCTTCAGGACGTTTTGGATGATACCCCTGTCGAAGAGTTCCTCATGGGCATGGCATCGCAGATTGCCGAGCGTGAAGATCCGCTTCTGTGCTCTGATGTGCGTGATAAGCTGTTCGGTCCGATGGAGTTCTCACGCCGGGATCTGGGAGCGCTGAACATCATGCGTGGAAGGGATAACGGTTTGCCAGATTACAATACAGCTAGAGTTGCATACAAACTACCAAAGAAGAAAACATGGCGCGAAATCAATCCGGATGTGTTCGAACGGCAGCCGGAATTGTTGGAGTAAGTGTGAGCACGGTACCTGTGGCTTCTAGTTTTTGATTCTATTATATATTTTGCTATAGTTTGCTCATTGAAACGTACGATAACCGGCTGGACAACGTAGACGTATACGTTGGAGGTATGTTGGAGTCGGATGGAAAACCCGGGGAGTTATTCTCTGCCGTCATAATTGATCAGTTTACAAGGATACGAGATGCCGATCGGTTTTGGTTTGAAAATGAAGATAATGGGTAATTATTCATGCTATTTCTTAAAAATTAAAATTTCTAATAACAAACATTTATAGAATTTTCACTAAAGAGGAAATTTCTGAGCTACGGAAAATCACAATGTGGGACATCATTGTCAACAGTACCGACATCGAGGCGGATGAGATTCAGAAAGATGTATTCCATTGGAACGGAGGTGATCCTTGCCCTCAGCCGGAACAGTTGAATGCTACTCTGTTGGAACCATGCAACTATCTGGAAGGCTATGATTATTTCTCCGGTTCAGAACTGGCTTACATCTATTCTTGTGTGTTCCTTGGATTTGTGCCCATTCTCTGCGCTGGAGCGGGTTACTGTGTGGTCAAGTTGCAAAACAGTCGTCGACGGAAATTGAAGATCAAGCAAGAGGCGTTGAAGACTGCCGGTATCAGCAAAGCCTCCGTTGAAAAGATGATGGCTCGCGAATGGCTACACGCGAACCACAAACGATTGGTTACGGTTAAGTTTGGGCCTGAAGCATCGATCTACACGGTTGACCGTAAAGGGGAAAAGCTTAGAACGTTCAGCTTGAAAAACATAGATGTCGTTACAGTGGAACAGTCACAGGAAAATTACAAAAAGAAGAAACCCTACATCTTGCTGCGAGTGCCGAATGATCATGATCTTGTCCTAGAGTTGGAGTCGAACTCCGCACGAAGGAAATTTGTCAAGAAATTGGAAGATTTCCTATTGATACACAAGAAAGACATGACATTTGTTGAGGTACCTCGTGACATAATGTTGGTTAAGGCGGAAACACGTGAACGTCGTCAAAAACGCTTGGAACACTTCTTCCGGGAGGCGTACGCGTTGACTTTCGGATTGCGACCAGGCGAACGTCGACGAAGGTCGGATGCCTCCGTGGATGGGGAAGTGATGACCGTTATGAGAACCAGCTTGTCGAAACCTGAATTTGCTGCCGCATTGGGAATGAAACCGGACGATATGTTCGTTCGGAAGATGTTCAATATTGTAGACAAGGATCAGGATGGGAGGATTTCATTTCAGGCAAGCATGATTCATGATTGTGCAAGTTTGTTTTTCTACGAATGTATGCTGATCGTTTGGTTTTTAGGAATTCTTGGAAACTGTGGTGTTGTTCTCACGAGGCAAAACTGATGATAAGCTGAGAATCATTTTCGACATGTGTGACAACGATAGGAACGGAGTGATTGATAAGGGAGAACTGAGTGAGATGATGCGTTCTTTGGTGGAGATTGCCAGAACTACTAGTGTCACGGATACACAAGTGAAGGAACTGATCGATGGAATGTTCCAGGTACTCTAGCTGGAGTCATTGAGTTTATGATGTTGATAATGGTGATTTTTATTTGATTTTAGGATGTTGGGTTGGAGCACAAGAACCATCTTACGTATCAGGATTTCAAGTTAATGATGAAGGAATACAAAGGAGATTTCGTTGCGATAGGTTTGGATTGTAAAGGTGCAAAGCAGAATTTCTTGGACACTTCAACGAACGTGGCTCGTATGACTTCGTTTCACATTGAACCTCAATCGGATGCGCGACGTAACTGGATGCAAGAAAAATGGGATAGTTACACTACGTTTTTGGAAGAGAACCGCCAGAATATTTTTTATCTGTTCCTGTTCTATGTGATCACCATTGTGCTGTTTGTTGAACGATTCATTCGTAAGCATAATCCAATTAAGAAAGAGTGTTACTATTGAGTTTTTGAAACATGTTTCTTTATTACTATTCCCAGATTATTCATTCATGGCAGAACATACTGATTTGAGACACATTATGGGAGTCGGAATAGCTATCACTCGAGGCTCTGCTGCGTCGTTGTCTTTCTGCTATTCACTGTTGTTGCTCACCATGTCCAGGTATGTTGTAGTTTTTGTTGTACGAAGCATAAATATTTCTCCATTACTTTTTCGAAGGGACGTATCTGCTTTTGTAAACAATGCATTTGATCGTTGTTCGATCGTACCATCGGCACCGGGCTCTACTATATTTAAATTTAGAATGAGAAAATAATAACAGCCCCCCCGTGCCATGGTAACGATCTGTTCAGTGCGAATTGCAGTATGGTACAGCCATCACTTTTCACACTATAGACGTGGATGTTTTTGTTTTGGTCATTTTTTGTTGTTATTGTTTTGATTGTAATTGGATGTGATGAAATACCTTATTGTGATGTTTGTATATTTAAACCAAAGAATATTGTGAAATATATAGTTCGTTTTGAGTCCCCGAGCAGGCAAGTTGCCTCTCGGGGCATAGTAACCGGTGTGTCAACCTGAGCCGAAAGAAGACCAAATTAAAAGACAACGTAGGGTAACATTATCCTGGACGAAACATTGGTGCCGTGACCAGGATTGACATTGGTGCTCGGAGACGGCTCGCTGATACCGCCGATGGAGGATTCGTTATTGCTCCATGTTGAATACCGGAGTAGTGCGCCATTTGCATTTAATTGGAAAGTGCCATTGTTCCCGTCGGATTGCAGATAATTTCCGTTAGATATCCTTTCCCTTTTTGGAGAGCAGCATTACTGCGGGGCTGCCATTGTCCATGTCGGATGCCTAGAGTCGTCTGTTGAACCCCAGCGTCTACGTCGGACCGTCTACGTCCCTGTTGGATCACCCGCATCCCCGCTGTATAACCTGCGTCATTTTATCGGACCGCTCCGTCATTTTGCCGGACGCCTGCGTCCACTGCCGGACCCCTGCGTCCACTGCCGGACCCCTGCGTCCAATGCCGGACCGCTGCGTCCACTGCCAGACCGAAGCGTCCTCCCGTCGGACCGAAGCGTCCTCCCGTCGGACCTAAGCGTCCTCCCGTCGGACCGAAGCGTCCTCCCGTCGGACCGAAGAGTCACCTTATCCGCCATCATCGTGGTTATTAAAAACATTCGTTTTGGGTCGGAGTATGTTCGATCGTACCATCGGCACCGGGCTCTACTATATTTAAATTTAGAATGAGAAAATAATAACAGCCCCCCCGTGCCATGGTAACGATCTGTTCAGTGCGAATTGCAGTATGGTACAGCCATCCATTTTCACACTATAGACGTGGATGTTTTTGTTTTGGTCATTTTTTTTTGTTATTGTTTTGATTGTAATTGGATGTGATGAAATACCTTATTGTGATGTTTGTATATTTAAACCAAAGAATATTGTGAAATATATAGTTCGTTTTGAGTCCCCGAGCAGGCAAGTTGCCTCTCGGGGCATAGTAACCGGTGTGTCAACCTGAGCCGAAAGAAGACCAAATTAAAAGACAACGTAGGGTAACATTATCCTGGACGAAACAATCGTCGATTGCTCGCCCACGCATACTAACACCACTGCCAGTTACGCCAAATCGACGATCAACTGCATTGCTTACAAAAGCTAATACGTCCCTTCGAAAAAGTAATCAAGTTTTCAAGCGTAACTATTCAAATCGACGTATCTGATTTTGTAAACAATCACTTCAATCGACGATTTGTGGTAACTGCTTTGATGTAAGGGATTGTATCTTATGTTTTGGAATGGATCGATAGTTCTTATATTAGCTGTCCCTTTCGATTTGGATTGTCAGTACTGGGCCCTTTTTCGAGTACCGATATTTCGGTACTTAGAAATGCAGTACCAGTAATACCAGTACCAAGAGATTTTAAAAAAATAAATGGATATCGCAACATTTATTCAGAGGAGATTGGCCTGGTGCAGTGTTTAACATCCATTCCTCCATTCCAAATATTTTTTGCAAGACAAGTCACGAATAACCTACCTGTAGTAGCTATAATAAAGAAATAATGTATTTATTCAATCCCCTACTATTTCGAGCATTATTATTAATATTCAATTCCGTAATGCGAAGCATTTACATTCAACATTTCGCTTCCTATTCAGAGATTTTCAGACATATAGAAATGCTCTCTCTGATTCTTCTGCAGTATGGTGAACCCTATGGGTGGGACAACGGGGGTCAGTATATCAAAATATTGTATGATATTTATCCTTACTTAGAATAGCCTTAAAAACGAACATATGCGTAGAACAAACATCATTCAGCTAAAAAGGTCTAATTTTAACATGTATTAATTTTTGACAATTGAAATGGCTCTAATGTTGGCCTATGGATCGAAAATTTGGCCCATCGCTAAAAATCCACTATTTATCAATTTTATCTAGATGAACGCGTCATTAAGGCGTTGCTAATGGCTATTTTTGGTTCCTATTGAAAATTTAGTCGATTGCTGAATTTATGTATGGGCCCAAATTAGGGGCATTTAGGCCGACATTATATCCAGTTCCCCTAAGTATCGAATGTTGAAATTTGTATTATATTGTTTTAAATGACCAGTAACAAAAACATCATTTTTTTTTCTCATGCCAGTACTGGTATTTCAGTACCAGAAAATCCCCTGGTATTACCGGTAATACCGGTAGAGTTACTACAACAATCCTTAGGCTACTTCCGATAAAACAGCAATCGGAGAAAAACGCCGTTGATGTATTTTCCGTAATGGGCTCTTATGGATGGGATAACATAGCATTTGTATTTTTCGTGACATGTTCTGTACAAAGTAGGCAACTTTTCGTGTACATTGTACAGTGGTAGTACAGGCCAAAACGCACCCCTGGGGTAAAGTGGCCCTACGCGGGTTTTCACAGTTTTCCCATGATCAATTCGTGAATTTATCGTACAGCATTGGTAATTCAGTACATAAACTAGTATTATGGCACATAAAATCACATTATTACTAATAGGAATGCAACGAAAACCGCAGGGGTGCCTTATGAAAATTTTCACCAAAAATGCTAATGGGACTGTTATGCCGCACAGGGCAGTTAAAAGCATACATGAATAAATCATAGAACATAATAAAACAATATCAGTAAATATACCTAATTATGTAGGGGAAATGGCTCTAATGTTGAACTATGGATCTAAGATTGGGCCCATCGCTAAAAATCAGCTATTTATCAATTTTATCTAGATGAACGCGTTATTGGGACGGTAGTTATGGATATTTCTGGTCGCTATTGAAAATTTAATCGATTGCTGAATTTTTGTATGGGCCCAAATTAGGGGCATTTAGGCCGACATTAATCCATTTCTCCTATATCAATTTTCTACAATCGCTGATGAACTCACGCTATTTTAGATTTTCTTAAAATTTTAGGGGAAAATTATTGAGGATTATATAAACTCTTACGATTGCTATTGCCGTGTATTTTTTTTCTTACATCATCGTGTCGTTAAGGCAGTACCTTATCTTAGCTTAGACTAACTGCATATATTAATGGTCGCCACTTTGTGATTGACCACATTAAGTGAAATTCCACAATGAATCAACTTTTAAATTGAAAATTTAGGTTAGTTTTGTACTAAAACTTTTTGATATGTCTTACATGGATATTACCGACTACTTATTCTCACCCTTCCTGAAATAATATTATCATCATTCCGAATCCTATTTCTTTACAGAAATCTCATCACAAAACTGAAGGAGTTTCCGATTCAGCAATACATTCCCCTGGATTCGCACATTCAATTCCACAAGATTGCTGCCTGTACGGCACTGTTCTTCTCACTGTTACATACCGTTGGTCACATCGTAAACTTCTACCATGTTTCCACACAATCCATCGAAAATCTCAAATGTCTAACGAAGGAAGTCCACTTCACCTCGGACTACCGACCTGATATCACATACTGGCTGTTCCAAACAATCACAGGTTTGTACGATAAATAAATTTCCCCACACGGACACTGCTAATAAAAACTTGCTTCTAGGTGTCACCGGAGTCATGTTGTTCGTGATAATGTGCATTATATTCGCATTCGCTCATTCAACTATCCGGAAGAAGGCGTACAAGTTCTTCTGGAACGCCCACTCACTGTACGTGGTTCTCTATGCACTGTGCCTTGTTCACGGTTTGGCTCGTCTCACAGGAGCTCCCCGGTTCTGGCTCTTTTTCATTGGACCAGGAATCGTCTACACTTTAGATAAGATCGTATCTTTGCGTACGAAGTATATGGCGCTGGACGTCATCGAAACGGATCTGCTTCCGTCGGATGTGATCAAGATCAAGTTCTACCGTCCGCCAAATCTAAAGTATCTTTCAGGTCAGTGGGTACGCCTTTCATGCACTGAGATCAAGCCAGAAGAAATGCATAGCTTCACGCTAACCTCGGCTCCGCACGAAAATTTCCTCAGCTGTCACATTAAAGCACAAGGTCCGTGGACCTGGAAGTTGCGGAATTACTTCGATCCATGTAACTACAACCCGGACGATCAACCGAAGATTCGGATCGAAGGACCATTTGGCGGTGGCAATCAGGACTGGTACAAGTTTGAGGTCGCCGTTATGGTTGGAGGTGGTATCGGAGTTACTCCGTATGCTTCGATTCTAAACGATTTGGTGTTTGGAACCAGTACCAATCGATATTCGGGCGTAGCTTGCAAGAAGGTATACTTCCTGTGGATCTGTCCCTCTCACAAGCACTTTGAATGGTTCATCGACGTCTTGCGGGATGTTGAAAAGAAGGACGTTACCAATGTGCTGGAAATTCACATTTTCATCACACAGTTCTTCCACAAGTTCGATCTGCGAACGACGATGTTGGTAAGTTGGAAGATTATTTTTGATCATGCCTTTGCCGTCTTGACTTGTAACTTTCCTTAAATTTCAGTACATTTGCGAGAACCACTTCCAGCGTTTATCGAAGACGTCAATGTTTACCGGTCTGAAGGCGGTGAACCATTTCGGCCGTCCCGATATGTCTAGTTTTCTCAAATTTGTACAGAAGAAGCATTCCTATGTGAGTATTCTAAGACTAACTCCATTAAATGGAATATATCTAATTCACTGATTAACTGCAGGTATCGAAAATAGGCGTGTTCTCATGTGGGCCTCGGCCACTGACCAAGAGCGTCATGTCGGCGTGCGACGAAGTCAACAAGGGTAGAAAGTTGCCATATTTCATTCACCACTTCGAAAACTTTGGCTAAGCCAAGCAGAGCATGTTCTTCGAATAAACCTACCGCTCTTCGATTGCTCATTTAGGATTTTATTATTTTGTCAATTTTTATGTTGTTATTCATTAAGCTTAGTATAAATTGTCCATCTCTTAGCGATAAGATATAAACTTGTATAGTTTTCTGTTGCTTTAGATAGGTATTCGTGTTCATGTCTATGTCATCGTGGATATGACCTATAAGCTTCATGTACCTCAAATGACTTGAAGCGTATTTATTTGTCTGTTAATATTGTTGTTCAAGCGAAACGACATTCATCGAAAAGCAAAGTGCTTCTTTCCATCGCGAAAATTTATGATCCAGTGCATCGAACTAATTGATAGTTAAACGTGAGTGATATTACCGTTAATTCGCCTGAAAGAACAAACATACCCATTAGTTGTGGCAACGTTAACCCTCCTGCATCGAATTAGTATAAGACACTTACCATAGCGATATGTAACGTAGAAACACTAAGCTTTTCCTTCAGTAATTATCAACTGCCTGATTTCATAGAACGAAAGAAGAAACCATCCGTGAACTTACTTTGTTGTAAGGTAGCCTTATATGTTAAGAACTGTTATCTATTACTCATTGAAACTTTAACACTGCTGATTTTTCGAATATGGTGTAACTAATAATCCCAATGTTGTTCTACTTCCAAAATGTTCATTTTATTTTCTTGGAATTTTGTAACTTATCAATAATATTTACTGTATGTGTTGTAAATAGCTTTGCCAGCAGTCTGTATTTATTACCGGAATTAAATAAGATACTAGCGAAAAATTTTAAAAACTCACTTTGTTTCATTACCAGTCGATCACGTGCCTTCTGCTTAGTTTGTTTCTTTGATTTGGAAAATGATGACTTACACATTTGAACACGAAAGAAACTATGTTTCTGTACTGCGTTTTTTTTTTATTGAACTTGGATTAACAAAAGATAGGTTTGTTTTCATTATGATCTTCGCAGCAGTGCTGCCAGTATTACATCACGGTGTACATCATCCGTAGACAGTATTGTCGTCAATACTCCTCCTTGATGTTCAACATGACTGCTAATTCTTTTCCTTCTGTGTCTTCAGAGTCAACCCCAACATGTAGACAAACTTTTGTAGCTTATTAGCCACCAAAGGCTTTGTCATGATGTCAACCAACATGTATTCCGTTGCACAGTACTTGAGTTCCAGCGTGCCAGATGCAACAAGGTCCTTGGTGTAGTGAAATTTAGTGTCAATGTGTTAAGAGCGGCTTTTTTGTCGCTACAGGCACGTGAAATCCATACAGCTCCGATTGTCCTCCCATATGGTTCGTTGGTTGCTGTTCGTTCACATCTTCTACCAATCTCCGTCTCGCCTCTTCTTGGACTGCTTCAGCTAAGCCGGCGTATTCTGCCTCCATCGTCGAAGTCGAGACACAAGACTGCTTGCGGCTCGCCCAGCTGATTACGCCATTTCCAGGTTTGAAAATGAATCCGCTGTTTGACTTACTGTCGTTTGCATCACTCGCCCAATAAGCGTTTCTGTAACCTTCCAATACCAGTCTGAACCAGACAAGTTGCGTACAATACGCTTCAATTACGTCCAGTCAACCTTCGTCGGATTCTTTATTTTTCGACTCAGGATGGATACACTTGCTGTAATGCTTGTATTTGTCGAGATGTACAGAAGTCTACATAAATCAGCAGGTAGATCCACTGACCAGCCAAAAACTCCTTCATAAATAGGCACACGTCGGCTTTGGACTGCTTGAAACCAGCGTTGAGTAGTGTTTGCTTGATCGTATAGTTTTTTTTTAAATTTTTATTTTAGAGATTTTAATATTGATTGTATAGTCCCAAAATCTCGTAGCCTGCTTCAGCTTACACATCAGCTCCTCGTTTCCATGTGTTTCGAAACCTTGCGGCTGTCTCATGTATATATCCTCATCTAGTCGGCCGTAGAGGTAAGCAGTTTTAACGTCTATGTGTTGTACGAGCATCCGCTTGTGGCTTGCTACCGTGAGCAACACCCGGAACGTAGCCTGCATCGCAACAGGAGCAAACACCTCACCATTATCCACAGCGAAACGCTGCGCAAATCCCTGCGCGACCTGCTTTGAAGCTTCCATTGTTCTTCTTTCGAAACACCCCTCGGCATCATATGGGCTTTAGATCCTTCGGCATCTGCACCAGCGTCCACGTTTCGTTCTCCTTAACACGCCAATGCTTCATGATACGTCGCTGGTTCATTCGAATACGCAATTAATACGACTATGTAATCATGATATCGCAACGGTATGACACCTTTATTGACTCTGGACGACCTACACGGTCCGTTAGCTTCTTGATTCTTCTCGAAGTAGAAACTGCTATCAAAACTGAACTTCTTCAGGCTCCGTTTTCTTTCCGAATTCAACTTCCAACAAATTGTCCGTCGAAACTTCGCAAACTTCACGGCTAACAGTGATCTTATTTGTGATCGTATAAAAAAAAAAAAAACGATACGCTTTACTCTCGCTGCAGTACTGAACGAATAACAGCTTTCTAGATTTATCCGCCATCTTTCCCCGCTTGACACTGGGAACTGTACATACGCCTCGCAGCCAAAGATCTTCAATATTGACATATTCGCCACCATTATCGGAGTGAATTACCTGAGTTTTCTTCCCGAACTGCGTCTCCATCATTCTCACATATTCCCTGATTTTAGGTCCAGCTTCAGACTTTTCTCCAGAATCAAAACCATCGCATACCGACTATAGTCGTCTATTACAGTCATAAAATACACAGCAAAAAATAAATTTTAATATCACATTAAAGTGGATGCACTTTAGTAGTGTCAAAAATATGGTGTAATATTACATGCCAAACAGGACAAAATTATCATTAATACAGTGTATGAACTGACATTACGCTGCTTTTACTGCATTTGTTTATTTTTGTGGCCATAAAAATTACATGAGATTTTCGACATGATTGAAGTGCATCCTCTTGAATGTTATATTAAAATTTATGTTTTGCTGTGTAGCGCTTGCCCTCTGGTGTCACATGCTCGAATGGACCACAGATGTCAGTATGGACCAGATCGAGAATCTCAGTAGAGCGTCTCTCTGCCTTTTTTCGGAAATGATTTCCTAGCAAGGTTGCCTTGCAGACAGCACTCGCAAACCAAACGTTCACCACAGTCGACAACTTTCATATCGTCCCCCAAGCTTTTGTTGACAATCTGGTTCACAACATCATAATCGCGATGAACAAATCGGCGATGCCAAGTGTGTGCTGCACCACACTCGAAACAATTGTTCTCTCCTTCTGACGCAGAACATGCATTCCCGCACAGCGTTCGGCAACAGCACGCACCTGCTTCGATCGAGGATCTGGTGACCCTTGCCATCGAACAACACTGACCTTTTTTTTAGAATCAATGGTACACACAGACAACAGGTTGCTATCAAGTTTCGGTACCCATAAGACTTTCTCCAGTTGCACCTCAACAGACCTTCCATTGCCGTGAATGCAACGGAGCAATCCACTACCACAGCCTTCCGCCCTCGTCCTTTTACCATTTGCCAACGTAACAGGAACCCTTTCATTTCCGTTGAGCGAAGTGAAAAATGCTTTGCTGTGCGTCATGTGGTATGAAGCTCCACTGTCGACATACCATAACTTGATCTGTCCACCGGCTACGGAACAAGACGCCACCCACACTACCGGATGCTTCACTGTTTCGTGCTAGAAAACACAACGGAGAACTCGATCGTTGAACTTGATTCGCCTTTTGCTCCTTCTTAATCGGGGAAACTCGATGATGCTTGTCACTGACGTCCACTTGCTTGCTGGCCATAAACTTACGACAATCTTTGCCTGGTCGTTTGCATTAAAAAGATACCCTCTATTTGGCATTCTTTGACGAAAACGTACGCAGCACCTTATTTTCGCCCGACGCACCACACTGATCTTTCTGCTTCTGGATCTCATCTGTCAACTTTTACTTCAACCGGCGCCGGTGGTGTAGTGGTAAGCGTGACTGCTTTCTAACACCGCGATGGGTCTGGGTTCAATCCCAGCCGAGGCCGGTGGGATTTTTCTGAGGCATACAAAAAATCTCTGGTCACGTCTTCCTTCGGAAGGGAAGTAAAGCCGTTGGTCCCGGCCCATGTGTGTTGAATGGGTGCCCAGGTGTGGAAGCTGCCTTCCTGCACATTCGATTGCCGTCAATGGATGGCAATCGATGTCCGTCGGTGCTTGGCACTAGATTACGGAACAGAGACCGACGTTAAATAAAGGAAAAAAAACTTTTACTTCACCAGCTAGATTGTGATGTCGTCGTCTGGTCGAACCTCTAGAGCAACCACTAGGCCATCGTACGATTCCGGTAGGCTACGCAGAATCATCGCTCCTTTGTCAACTCCAGATCAGCAGCTTTGAGACGATCGAACAGCTCGTCCAATTCCATCAGGTGATTGACCATACTTCCTTCTTTATCCAGATTTTTGCAGCACAGCCTCTTCAGAACTGAGGACGGTGGGGGGTGGGGGGTCTTGTGCTTTCAAATCAACGTACTGATCATTCTTGTATGAAATTGGTTCCAAACGCAAACAAACCCTGTAGGTTTCTAATGGCTTGCATACGTTTGGAACCAGTTACGCGAGGTATTTTTTTTTTTCATTTCGTTTATTTCGCAGGCTCAAATGTTATAAAAATAACTCAGCGGAGCCGAGTAACATAGAATACCAATTACGGTTCTCAAAATACAAAAAAAAAATATATACAAATATATTTTATCATATGATTTTTCTGGGTGGCGATCGAAGCGGCGACAAAGCGATCTTCTCCCGTGCACGCAACTTCTTTCTTTCCCGAATTTGTTCCTCATTTTCATTGAACCCGAATTGTGATCGCTGCTGCTGTTTCTGAACATCGTTTCCCGTTGCATGCTCTCCGCTACTCTCGTCGGTCGTCGGGGTAGTCACGTCCATTTCGTTATCTTCATTCAACATCTCCAACCCCGTGTCCGTTTCCTGATCGCTAATGACAAACGACGCACCTTCCACCACTACACCAGCATACGTACTGCTACTGTTTTGTTTTCTTTCACTTTGCTTTCCTTTTTCCTTCAGTTGCTTCTCCGGTTCCTTCCGAGCCTTCCGCTTGGGACAGGAAAGCTTCCGGTGTCCGTCCGCCTTGCACAGAAAACATTTATCTTTGTTGCCATCATAAAAAAATATTTCCTTTGCGATTGAAGAAATGTAATGACGTGGGGATTTCCTTCTTCACATCCATATATACACCGCGTATCCCTGTATATACCTCAAAACACAGATCAGTTGGAAATTTCTCCCGGATGATGCGTTTAATTTTCCCATATTTCCCCAGCACTTTATCCAGCTCGTTGTCGGGTACCTCTGGTGGCAAGTCATACACACGCACATATTGAATGAATTCACCAGCATGCGACATGCGTACTTTTGCCGTCGTTCCATTCGCATAATGGAAGATTAAATCCTCCGAATTGAATGTCAGAGCATGGAGCATCACTTCCTCTGATTTGAACTTCATGAAGACTCCCCTTTCCTCACCAATGCGATAAACAGCTTCCATTTCAGCCGGATCCGCGTCGAGTGCTTTGGCAAAATTTACTATCTCTCCGATGTTTGGTTTGGCATCACAATGGCTGAAGTCAAACTTGATGGTGTTTTTTACTTCACACATCTTGCACCGTAGCAACAAAAGGCACCGAACTGCTAGCAACGAACAAAGAGCAACTATATAATAGCGAGTCTCGAAAACAGGC